ATCAATGGAAGTCTTGATGTGCACGCGATAGCCCTCGTTCCGGGGGTCATAATGACAGGGGATGTCCGAAGAGATCACCTTGGACGAGATACTCGCCTATGACCTCGCCAACCGGTATGCTACGTATAGCCTACAAACGTCGAGCTCTTAGGTTTAGGTTACGACCGATGGCAACAGCCGAGCTCTCCCCGAGGCCACATGATCCAGCAGTTTTGCTGGTCGCAAAATCGGCCACTCTTAGCGTTGACACAGAAAACGGTGTTACAACGATGAAACAACCAGAGTCCACCCCACCGTTCCGACCGATGTCCGCAGGCACTTCTCTGGTTCCTACTCGTTTTGGAGTAAGGCACGCAAGCTGTCTTTTATGATCATGAACCCTGGGGAACTGGAGAACGAGCTAGTCGGCGTGGATTTCATATGTGACGGCGACGGCACGATCAGCTCGAGAGACTCTGTATCGTAGCCGTGTGACTCATATGCTTGTGCGAACCAGCTTGAGGATGTGCTCGGGATTCCCCGACTTAACAAAACTTCGCGGCGGCTTGGTCGCTGCGGTGTGGTGATGGTCACTGCAGGCGTGTCCAAACTCGCCGAAGGATACTCTTTTATCATTAATGTTTAATTACCCATTAATGAACCCTACCTCTAATTATCCTACTGTTTTACGCATGTTTTGGAAGGCAAAAAAATGGAATTCTCGGACAAAAGGATTCCATCAGCTTTGAACAAAATTACCAACGGAATAGATACGCAAGATTTGATTACAATCTGCGAACACTGGCGCGCTCAGCCTTGCTGAATGCTCACACAGCAACGTCAGGGCGCTCAACGCGGCACACAATCAAGCGAGGCAAATAGGGAGTGCGAATGCTGGCCATGGCATCGTCCGACTAGGCATAGATAATCTTTTGTCGCAAATACATTAGATTTCAAGTGGAATACTGATGACACAGGGAAGCATGCTGGAGTTCACCCAATGCATATGTATTATCATCTCCGTAGGTTTAAGACAAACGAATGCAATCCGACGGAATCGTTTTGTCCTAGATTCCATCTCTGTTGTCATTAGCTTGAACTTCTTTTTCGATCGATGGTACTGTTACACTCTATTCTATACGCTACACACCTTCTATTATAAAATATTTATGTAGTACTTGTCCACCGCGCTGATCGAGAGGGATTTTCTGCTGCTGTATGTTTCAAAAAAATGCTAACGTTTTAAACATCGAAGTAAATAATACTAGGCTCACGGAACCAGTGCAACTCTAGCTCGAATCTTACATGTTAAACTATTATCAATTTACACTACTATCCCAACTTTCTTGTTGGTACCATGTAAAATTGGAGCTTTCCGATGTCAAAACTGATATAAACTGGATAAATTACAAACATATTCTATAATACACTGATACTATAGGTATCCATATCACAACGGTTC